TTTTAAAATTTGTGATATATTCCGCTTGAAATGCAGGCAGAATACTGTTTTTCTCCACCTTCACTTGTATTGGTGCTATATCCGTAAATAACTCAGCTAACAAAGGCTTTTTTCCCAGTATTTTTGAGTTAATGTGAGGAGAGTTAAAGTGGATATTTTCCCAACCAGGTCTGATTTTCTCGCCATCAGGTTGGTTAGAAGCCTTCCCGCCAAAAGTTTGCGTCGTAGATTCAGGGGGGGTTCATTGGATAACACCCACATCGCATCCACTGGGGTACTTGGCAACACTCCTAAGCATAACCGGAGGGCCTTATTTTGGACGATATCCAGTTTATTTAGTATCGTTTTGGGTGCTTCTCCAAAGAAAATGGAGCCAAAGTCGAGAACTGATCTTATGTTCGCTTTATAAAACATTAAGCTGACTTTTATATCCGAGCCCATTCTGGGATGAGAGATACAACGGAGGATATTGCACATCCGATCAGCTTTCGTTATTTTTTTTTTTTGTATATGGCTTTTCCAGCTCATTCGTTTTGTAAGTGTCAAGCCTAGGAAAGTAACCTCCTCACACACTGGAACGTCGTAATTTCCCAGCTTCTATACTTCCGGAAGAGATAGATTCCTTTTTCTACTAAAAGGGCACACTTGTTACTTGCTTGAGGAAATAACCATTCCATTTATATTGGTCCATTTTTCCAAGGAGATGGCCGTCTCCTTAAGGGCTTCTACTGCTGCGTTAGCTTCTTTATGAGATGTATAAACGCCAATATCGTCAGCAAACTGTATGATTTTCACCCCTGGAGGAATGATTTTTTCCAAATCAGATACGTAAATTGCGTATAAAATTGGGCTCAAGATGCCCCCCTGCGGAAGGCCAACTATAGATCTACGAGGCCCAATAGTAGTCCCATTTATATTAAAGTAAAGGTTCCTATCAGATATAATGATTTTCTTGCTAAAATTCTTTGGTATTCCAAGCCGGGCCATTTTCTCATACAGTATTGTATAATTGACTGAATCATACGCTCCTTTAATATCTATAAAGAATGCTAACGTGGTAAGATTCGAGGTGAGAGCTGACTGAATATCAACCACTAGATTACTGTGTGCTTCCATAATGGAACGTCCTCTTCTGAATCCCATCTGGCTCTCCGGAAGTTTGTGGTGTCTTTCTATCCACCATTCCAGTCTATTTTTAAGTAATCGCTCAAAGGTTTTTAGCATGCATGATGTCAAGGAAATGTCAAGGAAATCGAAAGGTCTATACGAATCGGATTGATTGGAAGACTTTCCCGGTTTTAACATTGGAATTATTAGAGTCTCTTTCCAGTATTCTGGGAACTCTTCTTGATCCCAAATTCCGTTAAATATGTCTAAAAGTCTTTCCTTTGCGGTCTGCGGAAGATTGGAGAGCATAGGGTAATAAATCTCATCCATTCCTGGCGCTGTGTTATTATTCTTCTTAATCGCCACGTTGAGCTCGTCAATTGAAAACTTTTCTTCTATAAACTCGCCTGGTTCGTCTATATACCGATCACTCTCCTGGTGACAGTAATGCACCGGCCCCGCGACAGTATGTAATCAGTACGTATTAGCAAAACATAATGTGTATGTACACAAGAGTTAAATAAAATAATTTAAAAACAAAAAAAAAATCATCTGTCTGTAGAAATGAAAAATAAGCACTAGATTGACGAAATGTGAATTCAGATAAGATTTTTATTCTTGACATTTAGCACAGTATTGTAGAAACTATTTTCGTTGTAACTCCAGTTAGACATAAAATTACTTGCACTAAAGTTATAATCACGGTGTCAAGAGAGTACAGAAAGTCATCGCTTTTTTTTTTGTTTTTGTTTACGCTGGCATATTACCCATGAAGTTTTCTTCTATTTTCATTTTACTGTCGAGTGTGTCGAGTGTGAACGGCCGACCAGGGCCAGGTCCCCGCCGCGCGCCCGCACCACTCATTCAGCTCCATCATATTCTCATCTTCTAAATTTTCATACTTGAAGATAATCAAAAAGAAACGTTTATCGACTTTAGAAATCCATAGATTGTGTTGAAAGCTGATGGGTTGTTGCTTAATAGGACAGATTCTAAGTTTATTGGTTTTGAAATATTTGGGACTTTGCTCAGATTTTTTAGCAGTTTGTCTCTTTCATTTTCATATTCTGGACATTCAAAAATTATGTGGGAAGGATTTGAAGGGCAATTGTAAGTGGGACAGTTCGGAGACGATGCCAAACCGATTCTCTTCTTGTAGCTACCCCATAGGCCATGATTTGTCTTAAGTCTAAAAATAGTAGACTAGAACTCCTTTGACATTCCTTCGGGGCTATCGCCTTCCAAAAACCATGGTTTTTTCTTGAGCTCAGGGAACAGTGACCTTTAATAATTGCCAACATTTGATGCGTTGTATTTTTCTTGCCACAGATTTCTACAAAACTTTTCCAAAAAGTTTTTCCCGTCATCTTTAGGAATTTTAATGTCAAGGGTTGGACCTGATGTTGCCGCGTCCTTTGCAAGTGCGTCCACCGTTTCATTTTGCCATAAACCTGCATGCCCTTTCACCCAACACAAGCCTAGGTTGCTGCCCATGGCTATACCAAATAGTGTAAACGTGCGCCTGATGTTATATTATTATAGATAAAAACAAAATAGTAGGTTAATTTATTTATTAATTCTCAAATTATTATACTCCAGTGAATTATTGTGTGGACTGCCATAGGGCAGGACCCACCCTCAAATGCCATGTTAATCACACTTTTTGAGTGTGCTGTATATCCGTATGTATTAGCAAAACATAATGTGTATGTACACAAGAGTTAAATAAAATAATTAAAAAAAAAAAAAAATCATCTGTCTGTAGAAATGAAAAATAAACAATAGATTGACGAAATGTGAATTCAGATAAGATTTTTATACGTGACATTTAGCACAGTATTGTAGAAACTATTTTCGTTGTAACTCCAGTTAGGCATAAAATTACGTGAACTAAAGTTATCAACACGGTGTTAAGAGTATAGAAAGTCATCGCTTTAGATAACAGAACTTCATCTTGCACCCTAAATAATTTCAGTACAATTAAATAGGTTTGCCCTGACTCTTGAACGGAATGGACTGTCATCCCCCAGACGATACCCGTCGAACAGACCAAAGCGCTTCCAATTGCAGGTGTGTACTGACCGCTAAAACAGTAAAGATACTCGTTCAGATAAGGGTGAATCTGTTTTAAACAGGTTTCGTATTCCAATTGGAATTTGATCAAGTCGTAACAAAAATTGCCGATCATTTGAAAACATCTGTGAATGGTGCGTCTCCTAACTGTTTGATATTTCACCCTTAACGGCCTTCCGCCGCTCGATAGAACAAAACACGTCTTATCGACTTCTTGAAATTTATCTTCGTAACGTTGCATAGCGGAGAAGATCGGCTGTCGAGTGATAGACACGTTCGTCAAAATATTCAATGGATAGCGCAACTTCACCAACGAATAGTCGTACGCGAACAGACCTTTACGCATTTCTTTACATTTAGGGTGAATGTGCACAGATTCTATAACGGAGTCGCCTTGTTCTGTAATCGCCATGATATCCCTCGTCGGTTTCGGAATGTGAGTATCAATGGATGTGACGCATGAACATGCTGTTATTAATAAATTCGATTTCGCTACGATAGAATTACAAATTTTATTCTTTTCCTTGTTAACGATGCACGCGATGATCTTATGATCGTACCATGGTTCACAAAGTGAAAAATGAAACATTATTGCAATGATGAATGAATAAATAAACATTTTTTAACAATGTGCACTAAGATGAATTATTAGGTTTAAAACAGGTGTTTAGATCATATGGGAAGTATTTATCAACATTCAACCGACATTTTTTTTATCAATAGAAGTATTAAATTAAGTGCACGAATTACAACAACACTGAAGATACAATGCTTGACCTAGGTTTATCGGCGATGGTTTGGTACATCGGCAAAGTGTCGATTCTGATATTGTTTATGGTAGTGAGCGGTGCAACGATTTTCTGGGCTGCGTGTAAAAAATCCGGTGCGCTGTTCGAACTGGACATTTGGCCGGAATGCCACAAGCAAAATTTAATAACTACTTATTTTTTCCTTTGCACTTCTTACATAATTCTCACGATCGCGATATGCTTATCGATAAATACGTTCATATTTAATTATACCATGAGCAGTTCGTACTTGGAGATTTTCGCCGGAGGGCTGATGTGCCTCATAGTGCTGTCGGCTTGTATCGAATCTTTGCCGTACGAACCCGAAGACCAAACGCTCAAGATCTCCTGCTGGCTGGTGCACTCGCTGACGATGGCGCCCGGGTTGTCTTCCTTCGGCAGCTACGTGAGCTTACAAGCGATGGTTTACACCTCCTTTGGAATCGTTCTGGCTTCGTTGGCAGGATTTACCGCTCCGCAAAACCTCTTTCAACACTTGAAGTATCCGTTGAAATTAATGTATATCGTTGTAGGAGTTACGACGTTGTTTAGCGTGTTCGTGTATCCGAATTACGAGAGCCTGATCGAAATGCTTATTCTGGAGACCACGATATTCGGCGGGATGATCCTCTACTTTGTCGTCACGCTCTCCAACACCCAGGGTCTTGTGGCCGATATCAAAAACGAGAAAAAGTTCGATCCGATATTTTCAGCAGCTGTTATGTTCCTAAGTACGATAAACCTTTACATCAGAATCGGTATGTTCGTATCACTCGAATCCAGCGTATTTTCAAATGTGAAAACTTGACTTTCTGGAAACATCAGTACCGTACAACTAGATCGTCTTGTTTTTTAAAACGTACTACAGAAAAAAAAACAAGATCACACAAACATTTCTAGTAAATAAACATCTATAATTCACATAATTGCTTAATATATTAAAATAAAGACAAATATTACTTGGTATGTATATCGATTTGGTTTGCGCTACAACTAAAGATGGAACTGTAATTTTCAATTTTTCTCAATATCCAAGAATTGTTTTTTCACCGTTCAAACATTTATAAAGATCGATCATTCTCAGCCCTTAAATTAAACAAGTAAAGAGAGTTATGCGTAATAAAGGAGAGACATTTATGCTAAACTTTGAATAAAATGCGAAGACTTTATGTAGTTTTGGGGCTTAGTTTGTTTAATATATTTTCTGTACTTTCTTACAGAAGTCGTATTTGTGTTTTGGTTAGCACAACGTTGACGTCATTTTGAACTGAAATATTAAGTAACCATTTAATAGCTGCTGCCTTCTCAACTTATGAACTTCCAGCTCTTTTCGAGTGTTTTTGCCTAAAGTCTTGTATTTTAAACGACAAACTGGATAATGTTGGTTTTGCTTATTTTCGCTGTGTATCGTATGATTTTGAAAATCAGAGTGAAGGTGACGTTTTAGAAAGTGTTCACAAATCTAATCTAGAATCACGTGGTTTCTACTGTAACCGTCACGATTAACAATCCGTCTCAAAGAGCTTGCCATCAGAAACCGGACAAAATATAATTTTACTTGTTCTTAATCGGGTTTCTAGTTTTAAATCGAGATTCAGGTAGAAAGTAAGAAAAAAAATTCGTTTATATTTGTCCATTTGTGCTATTGAATACATATTTTTCAGGAAATAGTAAATTACAAGTATCTCGAATCCAAGTAGTTTGTTGAAGAGAAGTAAAAAACTATGCCGCCACCCGGAGACGCTGAAGTTGGTAAAGTTATTAAAATATATAACATCTCATTTTTAATTCTCGAAATTGTCTCCTGTCTAAATTTTATCGCACTAAAATCAGTTGTTTTGATTGCAAAGTAAGCGTTATTTATCAAAATATGTAATAAATACCCAAAGACGGGGCTTTTATTTGTTTAATGCAATTGATGTATATAATTTGTCTTTAATGTTTTTTTGAAATACATATTACAGATTAATTCTCTTGATAAATTCAGATACAAATAAATACCTAATATATTGATGGTGATTGCAAATTATATTTGAATAATGATTTTGAAGTAATATATGTCTCAAAATTGGAACCAGGATTTTATCAATTCAGATTTATTTATTCATAATTCCACACTTTCAAAACAGTTGCATTAGTAAAACTAGATTTTTTTTAAGCAGCATATATGTAAATATTGCACATGATTCTAGGGAAAAAGATCTTCATTCAAAAATGCGCCCAGTGCCATACCCATGAGGCTGGAGGGAAACACAAAGTAGGACCGAATTTATCAGGGATTTATGGAAGATCGACAGGGCAAGCACCTGGATACAATTACACAAACGAAAACAAAAACAGGGGCATTAAGTGGACTGAAGAAAATCTATTCGTATACCTTGAAAACCCTAAGAAATTCATACCCGGTACAAAGATGATTTTTGCAGGAATTAAAAAGGAACAAGAACGTGCTGATATAATTGCATTTTTGAAGACCATATAAACATTATAAGTGTAACTATGATAATAATACCAATTAGTAAATAAAGTTATATTTTTCACTTTAAATTTATTGTGGATTCAAAATTTCTTCTGCCTCTTATTTCCTACTAATTTTAGAGTGGTTCGTTGTCAAGAATATTTAGAGATAGTATGAAAAGTTATGACTGCCTGATCAGGAAAATTTATAGCTTGATGGTATCTAACTCTTGCAATTTCTTGTTGGCTTGAATCAACTGACCAGGATGGTCACATATGAAGATAATTTTCCATAACGATAGATAGCAAAACATCATGAAACAATTTGATTTGTAAATTGTATTTTAGTGACTGGGAGTTTTGTGGCCCTGAAAAGGGCCTGTGTTGTGTCGAGAAGGCGTGACAATGAATCGACCGTGTGCGTGGCGCCGTTGGTGGTGGTCTGTGACCATGAGTAAACCGTTGGCTGAGGTCCGGGGGCCGTGAGTCGGTTGACGTGGCCGAAGGTATTGGAATACAGCAATTAGCCGAGGGGCAGCACTTGGCGTTTACGGCCAAGTCGGTTGTTTAGAAGGCGAGATCAGGCTAATGCTGCGAGTACTTGCTGTCGTCGACTGTGTTCCTTTAGTGACGGCTTGTCGGGTTGACGAGTCTAGTGTAGTCGATTATTAGTGATGTATGAGACCTCATCGGGCTGACGAGTTTGCTGTCGTTATTGCCGATGTCGGTTACATTAGTCGGGTTGACGAGTCCCTCCAGCGAGGCAGTGCCCCTGCTTATATAGGGAAGGGCTCTACTATAATTGGCTGCAGAGTCGAGGACGAGAACATTCCATAAGTCGTAGTGGTAACGTGTGGTAGCTACAAGTGGCCACTGCATATATATTTAAATTTATTAAAAATATTACGTTGGTCATACCTTTGCCCCCACTTTTTTGATCATTTTGGATTTGCCAGTCCACGGACGGCACACCGGACAGGCGAACAGGCACCCAGTCAACGGCATTCCACCAACCGGGTAATACCACCTGCATTGAACGTTAATGTTTTGCTTGGAGCAGCCGATCTTTCAGAGGGATGTGCACGCCACTGCCATCATCACAGCCTCCCAGATCAGGGGTCCTAGTGCTGACCCAAGGTTCCCCAGGAATGGATACCACCAGTCCAAGCCCCGCCCCCACCCACCGGGCCCCCCGCAACCAGGCTATCCTCTGTGAAATTGTCTGTTGCTTATCCTCACAGCAACTACTTATTAATTATTTCTGGCTTCAAAATTATCTTTGTTTATCGATTTTTATCCTCTTTCGTTCCTTCCCTATCTTACACTCTCCATTCTTCCAAAGGTATGCACATACGCGAGCGCGCACCCACACGCCCATATGCCCATACGTCTATATACATATCTAATTATACTTCTATTTATATTTTCTGTATCAAACGCGTTGTTCCCAGAAAGTCAAAGAGTCTATTGATAACAGGGGGATCATCACCAAGAATCTCCGCTAATTGGCCTGGAAGTTTGTTGAAGTATTGTACTTGAAGTATTCGTTGTTGCTCAAAACTAAGGCAATTAGTCAAGAGGTGTTTTCTGTAACCAATTCCCTGCAGTAATCGCACCCCCCACCTTTAAAAAGACAGTTCCTAATCACAATAAGTTGTTTTTCAATTTTTTTCAACACTTCTTGGCAAAATTTCTCTGCTGTGAAGGTTTCACGTTCAGTTTAATTCAGAAATCATAGTGAACGAATCCAGCAGTACACCAACAGTCACTATGACCTAATTGGTCAAGCGGATCACGAAAACTAGTGAAGTCACTATAACCTTTTTTGAATGCAGATTTGGTTTCGGGAAGGGTTTTGGCTCTTCTTCCTTGTCCAACCCTTGACCTGTACGCCGCCTGTTATCGTACAGAATCCATTTCTCAACGCATCGAGAAATGGATCATTTTGGTGGCGCAACAGAAGAGACGTTCAAATTTCAAAACGTCGATTTCTTTGGGCTTCCGTTAGTTCGTACGGTCGAGCTTCTTTACTTTACCAATTGGTTCCAAATGGCGAACAACGATTGAGTTGTCAACACTAAACTCTTCCGCAATTTCTCGTGTTGTCTTACACGAATTTTTTTCAATTAGCGTTTTGTGTTCGTCACAATGGAAGGCTTACCGTGGTCTTGTCGCTGCACCGTGTATTGCCCCCCCCCCCAAGTGCATTGATGTTACGAGCAGTTTGATCCGCACTTCTCCTAAGTTTAAATTAGTGCAAATAAATTTTAGCAAAATATAGTTTGACGTATTTAATTTCACAGGTCCTCACTCTTATAAAATTTTGTGTAATCTAAAAATTTTTGTATAAAAGATAACAGTTAAAAGTATATATTATAATCCATAGCTTTTAGCTTTGAGTTCATCAGCCCTCACTAATGGAGCAAGCAGCTAACACAAGCCACAAGCAACCAAGTCATTTTAGCATCTCGTACTCATCGATCACTTAACAGCTAACGTAGTGTGAAGTCATACCTGTCTATTTATCTTCGTTATATAACCATCATCCAGTTCAATGACACGCGCCACTGGGCATACATTACAGCACAGTACTACCAACAGCAGGCAATAAGGATGACCCCCGGGGGGGGGGTTACTATCACCACTCTTATAGTTGTACGTATTTGAAGATCTCATTAAAAAAGGAAAAACTGAGACAGAAACTTTATGACTGCCATGCAATAGCAGAGACCTTGGAACATGTTATAAAAATATTCATTCTGCAAAGCCAGAGCAATTTAGCCCGGAAACGGTAGTAGGGTAGTCATTTTGGAAAGGTGACACTTTGAAAATAGTTTCAGTTTTTCAAACAATTTCACAATAGATCTTATAGGCCGAAGCCGAAGAAAGCGGGAAAGAATATAGTCAGTGACCCCTGGGGAAAGAAAAGTTCCATAATTTATGAAAGACTTAAATTTAGATTTAATGGGAAGTATTAATGAGGAAAATTCATTTAATCAAATACAAGCTATACAGGGTGGGCCCAAACGAAACAAAGATACTTTGAGGATTTATAGAAAAAATTTGCATGCTAAACAAAAATGCTCCTATAAACATAGGTCTTCAAACGAAGCTTTCTATGAGAAAAATTTCTAAAAATCGTGTATTTAAAGCTTTTTTTCAAGAATTACTCCCAAATGGGTCCATGTTTCAAAATAAATCGAAAAAACCTATTCGAGCATTAAATTTTGAGTAAAACGAGATCAACCGCACGTTTTTATCTTAATCCGTTGCCGAGATATGATTTTTTTGATGTAACCACTTTTTTTCGAGAAAAAAAACATTAAATAAACACTTTTTCAGTATCACTTCTAAAGAAACGCTGTAGGAAATTAAATACTACGTAAAATGAGACAAACACCACCTCATAGGCAAACTGAGTTAACATAGATGGTTCACTTCAGCTGCAATGGCTAATGAATGTTCTGGCTTCATTTCACCTTTTTTTTCAAGCAACTAACAAGCCAAAGCTTAGAAAATTGACACAAAATCGTGTCTAGAGTGCCTATGGGGTGGCATAAGTCCCATTTTTCGTAGAATTTAATTTCCTTCAACGTTTATTTCGAAGTGTTAACACAGAAAAAAACGTTAGTGTTTTTCTCGAAAAAAGTGGTTATTATATCAAAATAATCATATCTCGACAATGGATTAAGATAACGTGCGGTTGGTCTCATAATACTCAAAATAATACGTTTTTTCGATAGGTATTTTCAGAATGGAGCCATTTGGGAGTAATTCTTGAAAAAAGCTTTAATAATCACGTTTTTTTTCGATTTTCTCATAGGATTCATGAAATTTCCTAAAAAATCCACGGTGAATTTGTTTCGTTTGGTATAAATGTAGTAAGTAATTTTGTTTTTCTGTTGATTTTTCAGGGTTCTAAAAGACCATTGAACCCAAAATGTCCACAACAATATATTTAATACCACAGAACACTTGATTTTATTTCCCATCATATTGGTTCATCTATATTGGTTCTAAGTCATTTCCGTTGTATAGGTCATTTCCAATGACTGTGATTTTGTCCAATGCATTTTTACAATTTGCCTTGCTATCTTCAGTAATAAGTTCATGTACAATTTTACTTCATCGAGGTCCTTTTACATTGTTGCACCGCGCCCATGGTCCAAGGCCTTCACCATCCAAGACTCAACAGTTCAAAACTTCGCCATCATAGGTCATGAACCCAAGGTCGCTCCTTATCCATATCACTGTCTTCTCTTCTACTGTGGGTGCTCTGATAATATGCTAGTACAAAACTTACATCATTGTTGGGAATTACAATTAAGGTTTTTAGTTAGATAAGTCAGTGGCACAAGCGAGATTCGAACCCATGATCTTCGGCTAGATACGCCGCTGCTCTACCACTTGAGCTATGTGACCTTGATCCACTCGGACACTAACTTCTTATCTCAACCCCACGTTTTGAGTTTTCCCTCCTTTTTGCCATTTTTTAATTGGTCAAGCAGACCACGAAATTAGTGATTTTAATTGTTGGGAATGTTAGCCAAATTCAAATGTTGTAATGACTACTGATAATAAAAGTACTAAAAATGCCACACAGAATCATTAAATTAAATAATACTACAAAAAAAGAAATCATACAAAATAATATATTTACTTAGTATTTACAAAGTAATGGTTAACTTTTTGTTTGTTTAAAAAAAAAATTAATATAGTTATATCAATAACCTATTCAGTCATAAATTTTTTGGGTTGTTAAAGTTTTCAAGAAACCTTTCTAGAACTTGGATTTTTCTCTTTTCCAAATCATTGGCTATTCCCAAATTTCTAATTAGTTCTTCTTGGCGAGAAAATTTTTCTTGCTGTATCTCAGCCATTCTCGCTTCTGCATCTTCCAGCCTTTTAAGCCTAAATTAACAAAAAAATTCGTTCCTTCACAAAATCTATGAACTAATGTTATTTTGATTATATACCTATCTTCAAAAGACTTGGTTTGTTCTTTCATTATGTCGAGCAGCCCTCTCTTTTGATGCAGAAGTTCTGTAGCAAGGGTAGCGGTGAATATATCCAATGGACTGCTATTGTTTATAGAACTATCTTCTGTTTGTATCTCTATGTCAACAGTTTGTTTAGGTTCAAACTGTATTCTTGCATCCTCTTGAAGTTCCATTTGAAGGCCATAATTAATTTCATTTTCATGAACAGGTTCTTCATGGTATTCCTCTTTGGGACCTGCAAATAGAACTAGATTTATCTTTATCTAGAAAAAACATAATCAATCTTGTTTTTTTACTATCTCTTTTCTGCTCATAATTGTCAAAGTCAGCTCCTAAAATTTCCTCCATCGGTTTAAAATAAACCCATTTAATTGACGCATGTGGAAAGAAGGTTTTTTTGGCTTTCAAACTTCTATATCTTGTCATCATACTTCTCCATTTGTCATAACAGCCATCGCCAGTGAAGTTAAACCCTCTCCCTTTAGATAAATGGTCTGCGATTTGTCTCCATAGTTTTGTTTTAACACCTGGTCGTGCAGTTTTAAATTGATGGTCATATTTTTTCCTATATTTAATTAATGAAATAATTGGTTTGTAAGTCCATCTGTCATCTGCAGGAAAATTTGAAAGCTTAATTTTTTTAAACAAATTCAACAATTAAAAAGTGTTTACCTAAGATATTTGTCTTATTAACAGTTTCTTCCAGGGCACATTCAGAAGTTGAGTTGGTACCTGTTTATAGAACATTTCATCATTGCAATTACGTGACAAAAAATCTGATTTATTGATAAAGAAATCTTACTTACTAGCATTGGAGTCATTGTTTTCTGTCTTGTGATAAACATGATCGGAAGGTTTGGAATTTTTGTCAATAGATACTACAAATATTATAGGAAATTGTAAAGTCAATTAATACGAGTGCATTGAAAATTGAATTTACCAGACTGTTTCATGTGATGTTCTTGTTGAAAAATGTCATCAAGCAACTTGTAATATTGCCACCTGGGCTTAAATCCAAGGTTTATTTTGTCTTTCACTCGATAGTAACCCATCTTCAATCTTCTCCATTTTTCGTCACAGGCCTTCGCCCCCTTTTCGATACCTCGCTCTTTCAGCTCTTCGGCAACCTCTTGCCATATTTTACATTTTGTTCCGTTCGGAGCCATCAACATTCTACTGTGCTTACTCCCTCTTATTTTGATTAACATTTCCGTCTCTTTCCAATTCCAACAGTCTAAAAATTTATGCCGTTAGTTTACACAAATTAATAATAGTAAAATCACATTTCACCTTTCTCAGAAAGCATCGTAGGAGATAATTTGAGTGGATCAACATCTTCCTCGATTTCATTTTCTTGTTCCATGTGCTCTCCTTCACCATCTTCTATACCACCACCCTCGACAGACATAAAATTGAATCCTTCTAGAAGCTGTTTGGCACTCATGTTATCTACTAAATAAATAAATAAACTTACAAAGAAGAGATGGGTGCAACATTAAAAGCGGTAAAGTTTTACATACCAGTAGGATTAACAACAAATATGGTTTTTTCGCCATTTTCACCTTCCAAAATTTGTACTTGATTGTACTCAAGCTTTGGAACTTCATCATTAGAAATTATCTGTATTCTCTTTGCACCTGTGAATATAATTTAACATATTTAAATTGCTTTGGTAAGAAAACAAATAATGTATGATGAATCTTCTCAACCATCATCAATAACAAATTACAAACTTTATATTTAGTCATTAAATCCACTAATTTGGTGGTCCGCTTGACCAATTAATTAAGGTTTTTAATTGAGATAAAAAAGTCAATGGCATGAGCGGGATTCGAACCCATGACCTTTGGCTTGATACGCCACTGCTCTACCACTTGAGCTATCGTGACCTCGATCCCCTCGGGCATTATCTTCCCATCTCAACACCACTTTTTGAATTTTCCCTCCTTTTTGCCATTTTTCAAATGTCGTGTAATCGGATTGGATGCTCGACGAGAAATGAAATGGCCACGGAGAGCTTTAGTGAAGTATACTTCATTTTTAATCATTAAATTCACTAATTTTGTGATCCGTTGACCAATTAATTATTACAATTAATTAAGGTTTTTAGTTGGTTTAAAAAAGTCAATGGCACAAGCGGAATTCGAACCCACGATCTTCAGCTTGATACACCGCTGCTCTACCACTTGAGCTATCGTGACCTTGATCCACTCGGACACCAACCTCCCATCTCAACCGGACCTTTTGAATTTTCCCTCCTTTTTGCCATTTTTCAAGCGTATCAAGCCGAAGATCGTCGGTTCGAATCCCGCTCGTGCCATTGACTTTTTTATCTCAACTAAAAACCTTAATTAATTTTATTTAGTTGTAAACTTTCATTTATGTTAAATTGAAGAACTCAGCACAGAAAATTAATTAAAGTCAATGAACATATTTTAAAAATGTTTCGAACAATATTGAAAAAGTAGCGAGATTATTTCGAATCATCCTGAGATAACTGTCTGCCAGAAGTGGTTCTAGATGAGAGACAGGTTCATCACTTTACTTAGAAACCTCAACCAATAATACTCGCGTAAGACACTCTGTAACTTTGCGACCAGCACTGGGGTCATGTTCTGGGCCCGTCTACAATCACAAGTTTTGATGTTACTGATTTGTGCCATCTTCAGTGAGGAACTGTCTTGGGTAGATCCAGTAAGTGAACTAGTACTGGTTTTTCAATGTTAGCAGACCCACCATCAATTTTTGAGAATAATTGGGCTTCAACCAATCGTTAGGGCTAAGCACCTTAGTTGCAAGGGTGCGCACTTTCATACAAAACCTTTTGCAGTCACTCCTAGGACCAAACTGTTCCACAATTAAAAATTACATGTGTGCGCCTAGCCTACATATACATGTTTACTAATACTACATATAATGAAGTTACGAACCTGAAATATTCAAGCATTTTTTAAAGGTTAAACTAGTTTTGTTTACATACATTTACTTGTGCTTAGATAATTTCTGTGGTTGCGGGTGGAAGCTACCTGGCTAAATACAAGCATAAAAGAATTAAGCACATATTGTTTGAAAAATAATGAACGCATTAAAAGTTAATGTGTGTCTGCCACAATGTACCTGATTTAATGTACAATCATGTTGTGATAAATAATGTATAAATAAATGTTAGTTGATTTGTTATGTATAATAGCACATTATACGTACCAAATCAACTAACAATGAATTAACATTTATTTACACATTATTTATCAAAACAAGATTTACATTAAATCAGGTACATGTTATGTATAATAGCACATGCTCTCGTCGTGCTGTTGATAGAAAAATTCACCAAGTTGAAGCGCTTCGAAAAAACGGTGGTTGTTGTCTGGATCCCCGGACATGTCGGGCTGGAGGGTAATGAATGTGCGGACGAGGCGGCAAAGGCCGGGACGTCCCACCCTCCAGACCCAAGCTAGCAGTAAAGAACATGATAAAAGAAAGATGGCAGCATCAGTGGGCCGTGTCATCTGAGAGTCTTTTGCGTTTCAAGAGCATGATTCATAGATGGCCCCCCGAGAATCTGAGCCGGAAACAAGGAATTGTCCTTACGCGCTTAAGAATAGGCCATGCGTGGTTGACACATGGACACCTGCTCTTGGGCCAAAGCCTGCGCAGGTGCCCCTTATGCACAGCAAGGTTGCTCGATGTGTCCCATACTGGAAACATGTCAAGCCTTGGCTCCCTACAGGGAGCGTGTAGGCATGCCATCCAATCTGAAGATGGTACTCGAGCACTGCAGCGAGTTTCAGAGTCTCCTGTTCCGCTTTTTAGGGGAAATTGGAGTTTTTTTATTGTATATAATATGTCCTATGTGTTGTGTGTCTATATGTTTTGTCTGAGTGCATGTATTTATTAGCATGAATGGAGAGGGGTGAGGGTGAAATATAACGTCATCATCGCCCCTCGAACGTTGAGAATGTATGAGTTTGTTTTCAGGGTTGATGGCAGAACATTTTAATGCAGCACATGCATCAGGCTAATGTCTTAGGATGTGAGAAGTGTTTCATGGAATTGGAAAATTTGTTGGGTATTAGGGTTTTGACTAAGGGTATTTGAAGGTCTTTGTAAATGGTAAGTGTTGGAAATGTGGTAGGGACAATGGTTCTGACAACTTTGGATTGAAAGGACTATATTTTTTTTATATTGGAAGGTTAAGCAGTGCCCCTCAGTAATAATCTATATGTCCAAATCGGTTTCAGTACTGCCTTATAATTAGTTAGTGTTTGTTGAAACGTGTGATATTCTTGACAATAATTTGTAAGTAGTCCAGTGTCTGCTTAATTCCTTCAGTTTGTGTATTTTGGTTACAGGTTAGATGTTGTATGTAGATGAGTAGTTGGATACATTATATGGTGCCCTTTAAGAGCTACCGTATCCCCTGTTCTATGCTTATAGCACACCAGTGTGTCCTAGTTCATCAAGGAACTTGATTAGTAGGTCTAATTTCAGAGGTTAAAAATCTCTTCTAGGTTATGTTGTACATCCCAAAATACTTCCTCCTGTGGGCACGTGTAGCACTACAGTTAGTTAGTAGGTGTGTTGTTTCCTCTGCATCTCTGCACGTGCCGTGAACAGTTCAAGGTTCGATGAGAGTCGAGATAGAACCCAACGTAGCAGTCAGTTTTTGTTATAGTAGTATTGAGGAATATTGTGTGATTGGTTTTGTTTCAGAGGGTAAAAGTAATATGGGTACATGCTTCTCCATTTATCTCAAGGAACCAGAATTTGTTCCATTTTGTCTATTCATTGGACATTTGCCTGGAGCTCCGAAGCAATTGTGGGATCAGAAACAGAGGCTGTGTCATCACATGTTAACAAAATCAAATTATAAAAGTATAAAATGTTCATTATTGTATCTTTGTAAAGTTTTATTCTCCTGCCAATCCATTTTTATTATAAAGGCCCCCCTGATAGTGAAGTTTCATCAAAAGTTCAGCAACTTTTGCACAAGTTAAATCTAATTACCAGTTTTGGCCAAATATTCAGCTGATTGAGTAACTATTGAACAATTGAATTGAGAGAATTTTCTACCTTGTAACACAAAAGAAAAGAAAAATTTTCACTGACCGACTTGCCTACTGTACAATATTCACCAGATGGCATTTCTGTTTTTTCTATATATTGCTTTACTGTTTACCAACTTTTAGGTTTGTTTTTTCATTTCACAGTAAGTTGTGCTTCTTCAGCCTTATCTTGATAGCGACTGTTGATTCAATTGTAGAGAAAAGAAGATAAATTTTCTTTTTGCTCAATATATTCATCCTGGTTAGAACATCTCTCCAGGTCGATACAAATCGCAGATATAATTTGTTGGATTTTTTGGAAGAAACGGTTTCTTGACCACCTCTCACAAATTATTAACCAACTGGTCACTAAAAAAACAACTCGCAGACTTTTCTGTCAGAGAGTTTAATGTTTCTAATCTTTAATACAGCAAAAAAAATAGTTTATAAATATAATTTGTGACTGGTGGAAATATAATTTTTAACAAATTAAACCTTTTCATGCTGTAATTTGTCATCGGATGGAATTCATTAATCATTGACAAATTTGACCATAGAAAATGAATCCACCGTTTTCTATGTAAAATTCAGTATTAAATGCTTAAAATTGAATTAGTTTTAAATATTGTTATTTGATATGATATATATTGATATGTTAAATGTAAAAAATGGAAGAGGTTAAGTAGGTTGTTAGGTTTTGTTATTATTTGAGATGAATTATTATTAATTAAAAGCGTCGATATCAGGGTAAATAAAGTCATTAAAAAAATTTATGTTTAAATGTGTGAATAATTGTGGTAGGAGTGGAGAAGAGGTAGTTTGAGTGGAGCGGGCCGCAACAGAGGAAGCGGCCGGATAATTTGTTACCTTTTTCCTCGAACAATGAAAACGGTTCAATCGCAGACATGGCCGGCGCCCGGTCCAAAAATTCCGTGTAGCACTGTAACGAGGCAGGACGGGTGAACGCCACGAACGAATCGGCCGGCCGCAGACGAAAGGTTACAAAGTTAGTAGTTACAATGGTCCAACAGAATTGTGGATCAGCGGTGCAGTGTTGCCCACTCACTTCCATCTGATAGCCGCCGACACAAATTCCTTTCAGTTCAACACAAATCAAAATATAAAAAAAATTTCCTAGGTGTTTTAATATAATTTTGGTCTTTCTTTATTTCACATAGAAAAAAAGAACCAATAAATACGAACCGGTTGAACAATTTACAATTCAATTTAAAAAATGACCATTTAATAATAAAAAGGCCAATTTTTTCTTAAAAACCAAAGAAAACTTAGTCTGTTTGTTCTAACGAGGGTATGGGTATTAATTTTTTTTGATCATAACAAACAACATATAAACCTAACAATCGAGCACAAATATCCAAGTAAAGTTTTGTTAAGATTATTTTTTACACAAACTAATGTGCTTTCCTCCTGAAATCAGGGCTAATTAGTTATAAAGGCTTTATTTATTATTAAACATAGCGTAATTAAAACATTCAAAAAATTGTTGAGGACATTGTTAAAAAATATGCAAAAAAAAACAATATCATAATTAAATTATTCAGAAATCGTGAGATGCGGTCTGGTGTGATGTAGGTTTCAGAAAAACATTTTCCTTATCGTGCCAACGTTTCGATCTTTATTGAGATCATCCTCAGGGCCTAAGATTTACAAACATTGTTTAAATTTAACAAATACATTTAGGATGTGGAAAAAAGAGAATTTATACAATGCAAAATATTTTTTTTCTCTCATCAGGACACGCAACAGTGGCACAATTACACAGAAAACAAACACTTTGAGTGAGTAGAAATACTTTGAATGAATATTAAAAAAATATATATGTTTTGCATTGTATAAATTCACTTTTTTCCAAATTCTGCATGTATTTGTTAAATTTAAACAATGTTTGTAAATCCCAGGCCCTGAAGCTGTCTCAATAAAGATCGAAACGTTGGCGCGATAAAGAAAATGTTTTTCTGAAACCTACATCACACCAGACCTCATCTCACAATTTCTAAATAATTATCAACTAACGGTCACTAATCACCACAAATCATAATTAAAATTGTTATCAAAATAAAACTAAAATAATTCACAATCACTCTGGATCAAGGTATGGTCTTGAAGAAAAAACCCCCCAGCAAATTCAGTTGTTATTGCCAAGCTTTCAACCTATTGTAAGGTCATCATCCAGACCTATATTAATTTCACATTATGAAAAGCAATTGTTAAATCAATTGTACAAACATAATGTGAAATTAATGTAGGCCCTGATGATGTAACTTTAAATTAGGTTGAAAGCTTGGCAATAACAACTGAATTTGCTTTTTTCTTCAAGAACATACTAAGTGTTCGAGAGTAAAAAATTATTACTTCTCACACTTAAAACTAAAATAGCTCTAAAATAAGTATTACTTAGCTCTTACAATGAAGAGAAAAACAGCATAAGAACTAGTAATGCTACTAGGTTTAATTAAAGATGTGTAATCTTTTTTCTCATAAAATACATGTGATAATTCAGTAGTTATGCAACTTTGAAGCTGAGTCTTCATGTTTCCCTAAGTTGTTAGAGAAATTAGAAGAGCCAGAACTATAATATCAGCTAATTTCACTAATTTCGTGGTCCGCTTGACCAATTAATACATTACAATTAATTAAGGTTTTTAGTTGAGATGAAAAAAAGTCAATTGCACGAGCGGGATTGGAACCCACAATCTTCGGCTAGATAGCTCAAATGGTAGAGCAGCGGCATATCTAGCCGAAGATCGTGGGTTCGATTCCCGCTCGTGCCATTAACTTTTTTTCATCTCAACTAAAAACCTTAATTAATTGTAGTATAATATCAGCATTATCAGTCAAACTGTTCTTGTCGTTACATTATCAAATGGTAGATTTCAGCAGAAGACCCAACATCCATAACATTTTGCACTAAAGAAGTTGCCAATGAGGCTGAATTTGAAAACGGAGACTTCATAATTATTATTGATGGCAATTTCCTTCTTGGTTGCCAACAAATTTAGCATGTTTGTCCACGTGATGCAAATCGTTTTTACAATTTCAAAAAAATGTTTTAAAAAAGTAGGTTTTGTTAATAAATACTATTTTCTAAAGCCCATCCACTAGGGGCGAGAAGAGCATTCGTGAATATGCTTGCCCAGTGTCGGTCCACCTGTGTCACCAACGAATGTTGAACTGAGTTTAAACAAGTCGACAGGTTTCAAGGGATAAAAATTCGATTAGTTTTGACCTCATAAATATATGTATATAATATATATAACAGCGATGACAATTTTAAATGCAATTTGGTTTTATTTACTAATAATAATAATAATAATAATAATAATAATAATAAAGCTTAATGCGGTGGAGTATAAAAAAGCAGTCATTTCCCAAATTAATTTTACTTTGCTTTTTTTTCTTCAATAAATTCTTTTTTACTTTTAGTGTGGTGTTCAATCATACTGGGAGGACAGGGCACATACAGTGAAACGCACTTCTTCGGGGTCACTTCTTATAATTTGCAACATAACTTTAGCAGCATCCTAAAAAATAATTGAGAATATTAATGTAAATATATTCAGATCAATTTTAAACAATTAAATTACCTCTACAAATGTTTCAACACTTGTATCACCATGATTGATTGGAAATGATTTCCTACCATCTGTAAAATTATTTAAAAACAATTATTAATTATGTAAAATAAACTTTCCCACTTACAATTTTTATACTAATTAGAGTATAAAATACCTAATTCATAAAGCTGCCCATCTTTGTGTACAAACGCTACAAAATGGTGAATAACTGGTTTTTCATCAGTAGGAACCTAAAAAATTTTTTTTTGGTTTTTATATAACCCTTCTATACAATAAAATGACTCTAAGAACAATAGAAAATTAAATCAGATAAGATCAAAGTTTTAAAAAAATCAATGTTGGCATTACATCAGGAATCTCACTAAGAGACTCGACTGACAAAATGCCTTCAAATCTCGGATTTTCATCATGTTTATCGCAATTCATACGATGTATGTGTATTAGGTAAAACAAACCTCCGTTTGCCCTTCTACTGCAATTGTGTTGTGTGCATCAGCAAAACTCTTGTGATGTTGTAATGCTACACCTCTTTCTTCGGGTGTTTTATCTGCGGTATCTTTAATAAAATCCTTCAAAAATCCATCTCCAAGTTCTATACTGTAGGCAATAGAATAAATATAGCGATGTCGTTGATAAAAAATTAGAAACAATTGTATACCTATCGAGATTATTGGCGATGCTATGCAACATAGCTATGGTCCCACATGCATTGGAAATAAATTGCTTAGTGAAATAAACATTTTTGGAAATAGTCTGCCCTTTTTCCTTTAACTGTTCGTCCTGCTTTTCTCTGAACTGTTCATACTGAAATTGAAAATTTATCTTTCGTCAATAACACAATACACAATATCAACAATAAGATGACGATAAATCAATATTAAAAAGATTTATGAAAAACCCAGTAATGACAAAAGATTAAAGAAAAATCAATATAAACAATTTCACCTTCTCGTTTGTAGGAAAAAGGAGAATAAAGGCTAATGTTGCCCTTGGTATCAAACCCAACATATCTGGATCCAAACTGAGTACATCTATAACTTGCCATTTTTGAGGAACTCCCAATTCAGCTAGGAACTAAAAAAATTAATTAAATAAATAATAATTAATAAAACTGACAGAAAAAATGTATTAAACATGTAGTGGCAACAAAAATAAAGGATTTCCAATTTTAACTAATACAATAAATTACAATTAATTAAGGTTTTTAGTTGAGATAAAAAAGTCTGTGTCACGAGCGGGATTCGAACCCACGATCTTCGGCTAGATACGCCGCTGCTCTACCACTTGACCAATTAATATATTACAATTAATTAAGGTTTTTAGTTGAGATAAAAAGCGGACTACAGAATTAGTGAATTTAATGAATTAAAATGAAGTATACACACTAAAGCTCTCCGTGGCCATTTCATTTGTCGCCGAGAATCCAATCCGATTACACGATATTTGAAAAATGGCAAAAACGAGGGAAAATTCAAAAGGTGCGGTTGAGATGGGAAGTTGGTGTCCGAGTGGATCAAGGTCACGATAGCTCAAGTGGTAGAGCAGCGGCATATCTAGCCGAAGATCGTGGGGCTTGTGCCACTGACTTTTTAATTTCAACTAAAAACCTTAATCGTAATATATTAATTGGTCAAGCAGACCACGAAATTAGAGAATTGAATAGAAATACAAATAATGCTGGTCAAGCCACATTCTCGCCGCCTTTTCATCACAGATAAACTCAAGCAAAACTTTGGTTGATATTGGGTCAGATCTATGTGTTTACACAAAATCATTATTGCAAACATCAAGCATAAAGAGACGTTCAAATGGAGATTTGTGGTTGCAAATGTGTCTCGCCCGAAAATAGGGGCCGATTATTTGGCCCATTATGACCTTATGAGTTTGCAATCACAAATTAGGACAATAATACCCAATTAGTTGTCAAAGGTTCATCAGCAGCAAACGTGGCGAAATTCAAATCAAAAATATTCAGATTTTAGTGTTTACCATTCACTGTTAACCACAAAATTAGTGAATTTAAAAAATAAATAAAATATCAGGTGCTAACATTTGCAAGAAAAGTGACACAACTCAAAAAAGCAAAGTTTTTTTTTGTGTTTTCGCTTGTCTTGAAGAAATGAAAGACAAAAGTGACAGATCATGACAGCGTGTACTTAATACATAAATAAATAAAAAAGTAAACTTCCATCTATCTCTCCTGTAAAATATTCTTTTTTTTGTGTGTTGTGACACTTTTCTTGTGGATATGTGTGGGGATACGTTCAATTTTCTCTGTCTCGCCTAGACATAATCAACAAAGATAATAAATAACATTATTATAGATAGAATAACAATCTCATTTTTTAAGGTGATACTGCAGTCCTGTAAATATAACAGTTAAGAGTTTTTAATTACTTCCACTTGACTCATTCACTCCCTGTATTTGCGGTGTTTTTTAGCTACCAAATTTACATTTTTCTGTAATGTGGATGTAGTTTTGGCCATAATATGGATTTGAGATTATGAGTTGTTCCGAGGCTCATTTCGGCTGCATTGCTGTTAATTCCCTAATGATCTGAGACCCACTTAGATTTATGCTATTTGAAATGTTTATTAGGGTAGTTCCAGATATCAAAGAACATCTATGCACAAGGAAACCTTGCTTCAATGTCACTAAGTTGTGCAATATTGCTTAATTTGTATTGCATTTCTCCCAGTATACAGCCATTAGTCACTAAATTTATCTTTTTGGCAGTATTGTACATTTTAACACTAGTTAACTTACATAATCGATATGGTGTACCTGTCTAAACGAGTCAAAAGTTAACCAAAGTAATTATAATACCAACCTTGTTTATGACCTGAAACAAACCAGAGGTTAATTAAAAAACGTTTTTTAAGAAAATAAAATTTAGAAAATAAGTTTGTACTTACGTCGGGGTTTGACTCGAGGGGCGTCCAGGCCATTTTCACAAAGATCGAAGAAAAAACACTAAAATTAAAAGCAATTTATGTATTGTGGCTATACTTAACCTAGGGATAATAAACAATTAAAATGTTTAGAAATAACTTCATATTAAAAAAAATAAGTAACTCACCGTGTAAGGCTTAAAAATGCGAACGTTGGTAGACGGGCAGAATGACTAGAATACTGCGTTTAGCTTTTTCTCGCTTGGTTCACTCAAAATCAAGCGAATTTTCCGTGGAAAAACACGAATGACACAAAGAAGTAAGAACACGGCACACGCTAACAAATTAACGAGTAACGACTAAGAAAAACGTGAAAACCTGAAAGTCGAGCCGGATGCCGGTAGTCGGTACTAAAACAGTCACGAGTCAACTGCGTAGTGCGGCAGGCGGCTTGTGGCGTGCGCTGCGCGTATGGCCTTCTGAACAGCGGTCCTTACACAAGTGAGGGCTGTTACGTCCTTTTAGTCCTACTATTTTAATTCATGTTTATTATTATTATTATTTTGCCAAATAACGCCAGACCATGAGCACATTTTGAATATTATACATTTTATTAGAAAAATTCCCTATTATTTACGAATATTGTTCTTTTCATTATTGCTATATAAAATTATTTGTATTGTACTTACTTATTCAGTGGGTCAAAATTTGTCTACATTTGTTTTTTGTGTAATTTTTCTTTAAGATTTCTTTGTATCTAAACCTTCTTTAGAGCATAAACTAGAATATTCATCAATACGTTTAAATTTTTTGTCGAAAACTAATTATGGGCAACAGTGTAATACAAAAATAGACATTTTTGAATACCAAAAAGTTTCTCATACACTTACTTAAATGCTGGATTGGAAAACAGAAAAACAAACAGAAGCTTATTTATTGTTGAGCTGCAAATTAATGACAAATCATAAATTACTAAGATACAAATGTCACACTTCAGTTTTATTTGAAAATGACAACTTTGTGGTTTAGATTTCATAACTAGTACAACAATGCTTGAAAAAAAGGGATCCTCACTTTTAGGGTAAGCGAACAGATCTAGTCCTTTCTTACACAAAACACACACACAAAACACACACACAAAACACAACACAACACAACCCACACACACACACACACACACACACACACACACACACACACACACACACACACACACAACACAACACACACACACACACACACACACAAAGTGCATAAGGAAAATTGAATTTTTCAGCACATTGTTTTCAAATTGAGCATTGAGTCCACCCTTATTATCCGTATATGGCATATAGTTTGTACATATAAATCAAAAGTCAGCAGAATTATGTTTCACTACAAAGGTAAATTTTCTCGGCGTTTTAGTGAGACTAAGCTGTAGCCAAGTGATGAAATAATGTTCTCATTCGACTGTCCAATATATGATAAAGTTTAAGACTGTTCTACGGATAATGCAATATAAACAGGAAGGCTAAGGGAAGTTTCAATGAGACGAGTGTGTCAAGTAGTTAAATAAGCTTTAAAAAAATCCGAGAACCAATCCCCTTATGGCATAGGATACAAAGGCAAAGTAGCCAGAAAACACTTTTATATGTAATAAAAACAGGCTCAATTTTGCTCCAAAACACATCAATATGTCCCTCAACTTCTTCAATATTATATTTTCAGATGAATATAAGTTTAACACTTTTGGATTTGATGGGTATGCATTCATTTAAAAGAAATCAAACTGGAAATTAGTGTTCAAAATAACACAGACTGCGAATCAAGTTTTCATTCTCCATTAGTGTTCATTCTCCATCAGTGAAGCATGGAGGAGGAGATGTGAGGTTGTATGCTAGAGGAATCAGTGAATAATCAGGTGTCAGGAATAAGTTGTGAAATGCTAAAAGGAATGTGAACATTCAAAAAGACAATGATTCCAAACTTATAGCCAGAATAACAAATTTCTATTACTACATCCACTTCCTTTTACATACACCTCCACAGGCGCCTGACGTAAATACCCAATTGAAAATTTGTCTATCATGATGGAAGGAAAAATCAGAAAATTTACAGTTTTAATGGATTAATAAATTAGAAAAACTGATTTATTTTTCAAGAACCCATTTTGTTCAAGAATAATTATTCTTCCTAATTATTGCTGAACAATAATAGGATAAAGCTTGTAGAATAATTGACTCCAACAATTTTAAAATTGAACAAATACTGTTCATAGGCCTATAATTTCCTATATCCGACTTGTAACCGCTTTTATATACCAGTTTAACCATTCCACACAATCAGAATATAATCTAAATTAAGAGACATATTAAATAAAATGTATAGAGGATAGTTAAAACTTTCTGCACGATGTAGGAAGGTGTAGTTCATGAACTTTATGTACGGTAACATTCTTTTTTGTCTTTAACTGTCATTCCTCTATAAAATTATACCCTATATCGTTCCTCACTATTACATTTAGAGAAATCTGACATTAATTGCAGTTTTTAATAGTGCTTAGTTATCATTTTGCTTTATATAGAAAGAAACACTGATAGAATGTATCATCAGATATTTTCTTTCTTTTTGAGAGTTTAAAATATTTGAGAAAACAATGCTCTGTTACGTTTTTAATTTTTAAAAGTTTATTTATCTATTTATTTTTTTAAATACAGCTGTAGTTGTATATTATATCTAAATTTAGAAAATAAATTCAAATTTAAATTAGGACCCACATTCAGTACATAAATTATTGCCCGATTTTAGAAAATTTCAATACCATCATGATAATTTTTATTATTTAATTGTAAGTACTTAATTGTCATATATGTAATATGTATGTATTATTTGATTAATATAATTCCTATGTAAAAAATAATATCGGAAACAAATTGTAGTTGAGACTAAGTGAGTCAAGTTGCAAGCAGATTTCAACACTATAAAACAACGTTAAAGTAAAGATGTATAACTTTTAGTTTTACCGGGCATGGTTATGTTACAAAAACCAGTTTACATAAAAACCACCAAATGGAATGTACCTTGTGTTCTAGCCAACTTGATCATATTTATGATGTTTCCCGCTTCGAATCCCGCTCGTGCCATTAACTTTTTTTCATCTCAACTAAAAACCTTAATTAATTGAAATGTATTAATTGGTCAAGTGGACCACGAAATTAGTGAATTTATGATGTTTGTAGGTCTGCGACAATCTGATCAGTGATAAGAGATGTTGAAGTAAAAAACATTATGTGAGTTTGGAAATGAATAAATAATTTATTTTATTTATTTTTATAACTAAAATACATTATACTTAACATTTATACATAATTATTTTATATGCCAAGCATTATCTCACTTTTTACTGAACTAAAATATGTTTAAATATTACATTGAAAATAACATTGCTACATTTTTAAAACTTAGTTTGTTGTACTAAATTTTTATTTGTTTAAAAATGAGCTAATCCTTATAACGTAGATAAAACTTAGAAATATTTACTTTGGCATAATGTTCAAATCTATAAATCTGGTTTATTGGGTGCTTCAATTTTCTTTTATCTATTCCAAAATGCAAATGCTTTCTGTACATTCTCATTCATTGATGTGGTGTGTAAAGGTTTCTTTGCTGATTCACTTTTTTTTAACCCTTCAATGCCATTCTTTGCCTTGGCCCCATCCTCTGAAAATGAATTAATTTAATTATTGATTAATCACTAAGCAATACATTATGTATTATTTAAACATAAGAAACATAATTTTGTAAAAAATGATGAAATTCATACATTTGCACTCTCATTGTTAGGCAACACCCTTTTTCTTCCGAATTAGTTCAAATCTCAAACTCAAAACACATACCTGTGCTGTACTTGACAAACTTGGTTTCATAATGATAGTATCACCTAAAGGTTAAATTGTATTCAATAGTACAACCATATTATAATTAAAATGATTTCAGTGAGAAAGTTTAAAAAGGAATACCAAATGTGGCGATCCGCCAAACTTGTATTTTGTTTCCAGCCACCAGGGGCTCAAAGGTAATTACTAATTAATAAAACAGTTTTTCTCAAGGTGTTTCGCGTTTCTATTATCACCTACGATAAAGTATCATCCCATCTTCCAATACCACATATTGATGACCAGGACAGAAGAATACGAGGAAGGATTCAAGCGATTTCATCAGATAACCTTCGACCACATGCCACAGACGCAGACCACCCAATAAGTAAGCCGGAACGCAAGTAAAAAATAAAGATTTTGATAGAAAGTAGAGTTTTAAATAGTTTTCAATCAAGGCTGAGAAAGAAAACGATCGACCTGTTGTTACTGAAATTGGTTCTGTAGAAATAACCCATCGTTATGGTTTGCTCAACTGGAAACGCAATTTCCAAGCTCTGGGATTTAAACAGATCAAACCAAATTTAATGAAATAGTATCAACAATATAAAATGACATCTTAACACAAATTGGTGATGTCGTTTTATCACCACCTATCACAGATAAATATATAACTTTAAAAGACCAATTGAAATTTTCCAAGACTCACACTCAGAACGGATCATACAAATAATGGTTAGAAAATCTTCATTTTTTTTTTAGAAAAATGCTTGAACTAGCTGCGGACAGCATATCTGACGAATGTATGTTTCTTAGTGACCGGTTGTTTCATAATTTGTTGAAGTTCTGTGGAGCGGTCAAGAATAAGGTAGTTAAGAAAACCTTTTTCAATTTTATTTCTTTGCCTACGTTTCGACATTTATTCAGGTCATTTTCAGGGCCTGGGTAAATTACAAAACTTATGTTGATTGGAAAAATATCTTAAATTGTACTTTTTCCAATCAACGTAAGTTTTATAATTTACCCCAGGCCCTGAAGATGACCAGAATAAAGGTCGAAGCGTCGGCAAAAAAAGAAAAAAAAGGTGTTTTTCTAAACTACATCTCTTTTGACCCTTCCTCACGACTTCAACAAATTATCTGAGGAAATTTTAAAAACATTGTTGTTTCCACGCCTTTCTACTCAAACCCAACAAATGGGCACTCTCGACACGACACGCATATTCACGAGCAAAGAAAACATAGACCAGCTAGCAGATCAAATAGCTCCAACCGAATACTTTGCGATATCGAAAAATCCGCCTCATAAAAACTCAGAAATAATGGAATTGAAAGAAATGGTAAAAAATTAAATGAACATATTTCTGTTCTAAGAAGGGAAGTACATCTATTTGAAAGTTATTTCCAAAAGTTATTCTCGACCAAGATCGTATTCTAGACCCAGAGGTCAATTTCCCCAAAAATTAACGATACTGAACTATGTTTATACCATTCTCAGATTGGGAGTAAAAAAATGTACATTTCATACTTCTTTTGAAGTACATATAAATAATAACAATACAATTAATACAATTAATTAAGGTTTTTAGTTGAGATAAAAAGTCAATGGCACGAGCGGGATTCGAACCCACGATCTTCGGCTAGATACGCCGCTGCTCTACCACTTGAGCTATCGTGACCTCGATCCACTCGGATACTAACTTCCCATCTCAACCACACCTTATGAATTTTCTCTCCTTTTTGCCATTTTTCAAATGTCGTGTAATCGGATTGGATTCTCGGCGACAAATGCAATGGCCATGGAGAGCTTTAGTGAAGTATACTTCATTTTAATTCATTAAATTCACTAATTTTGTGGTACACTTGACTCTACCATTTGTCGCCGAGAATCCAATCCGATTACACGACATTTGAAAAATGGCAAAAAGAAGGGAAAATTCAAAAGGTGTGGTTGCGATGGGAAGTTAGTGTCCGAGTGGATCGAGGTCACGATAGCTCAAGTGGTAGAGCAGCGGCGTATCTAGCCGAAGATCGTGGGCATCGGGTAAGTGTGTTTCTGGCTTAATACGGTAAGCAACCCAGTAGTTTTCATCGTGCGCCTACGCGAACATTTTCAGAATCTAAAGGCGACTCCAGACCCTCAGGGTGCCAGTATTTTAAAAAAAAAGCCCATTTGTAGGTATGTCGGGTTCGAATGCAGAGCTGCTGGATTCGAACCCGGGACCTTTACCTTACAGTGATGAGCGCCGTGTCAACGCCTAAACCGTTGCGGTCACCGACGCCCCTAGTTGTTGCGGAAAAAGGGAATACATATTTTCCAAATGCCGTGGGGGTCCTCAACTTATTACAAATCGTGATGGACATCTGTGAAACTGTCATTGCTGCTTACTTACTTCACTAATATTCGTGCCCTTTGACAAGAAAACCGACAAAAAGTCGAGCACGGCGAGCACCGGATGTCGTTATTCGGCGAATAGCCGAGCGTCCATCCACACTAGTCGGGATTCGGCGAAAAATTACGCGGCGTCCGGCGAATACCGCGTGTTTGGAGCCGCCTTAAGACCAACGCAGACATCAAGGCACAACATTTTTATTTTCAAAGCTCTGAAAACCACTAGTCACGTTTTCGTACGACAATATTAATGGAAAGCGCTTGAACCACCATATCGAGGTCCCTTCAAAGTAATTAAAAGCAACAAGTTTTTCACCATTACGCTAAACGAGAAGGATGTCACCATTGATTGCATCAAACCAACCAATCCTGAACAACAACGAACAGCCATTTCATCAAAAAACTACACTCTGTCTTCGAGAAACCCAGATGGCAACACCCGAACCACAACAGCAAGACCGATATCAACCACAGAGCATCAAACACTGAGATTAAGAAATTAATAGACTATTATTTGAGTTGAATTTTTCAACAAACCTTTTTTTTGTTTCAATGATTTATTATTATCTTTAATTTCTTCAGAAATTAAGTACTTTTGCAGCAAATGCCGCGGAGGGGTTGAGAGAGAGCCTGCTGTCGAACAGTCACTAAACCCTGAGTCACTCCTTTCTGAACATTGTTGTCCCTTTTTGTTGCTGTCACTTCCTGCTTTGGTCATTGCTACTTGAGATCCTCGTCTTGAAGCGGCGGACAAGTTGGCCATCCTACCTAATGCTCTTATGGCGTTACCTGTTTTCTGCAGTCATTAATCACATGTTAATAAAACACAAAACCGCTCAAAAATGTTAGTAAGTTAAAATAAAAAGTCTCAGGCATACGAATGCCAAAAAGCCTGTAGTGAAATTTTGCACTTGCCTGCCACTTCCTCCGAATTATAAATTTCTTGAGTTTGTCTGTACTCAACTTTATCTGACTCATTTCTGTATATTCCTGGGTCATCCATTTGTGAGCGAGACATTCCTCAGCAGTTAACCTTTTTCTAATAAAGACGCATTCATGAACAACGCCGCCACAATTTACAGTAATAAAAAGAAACAAAAACAACCTTATACTTACTCTTTTCTTTTAATAAGAAGCTCTGTTATAAATTCTTTGGCAGTTTGGGAAATAGAATCAAAAGCTTCATCTTCAAAATCAAAGTCTGCTCTTGTTATATTTGCAAATGTCTCCGCATCATTTTCACCCATAAATGGGGAGAGTCCTGACAACCTTTGATAACGCAGAAACTCAATAAATATTAACATACTAATAAATAATCAGATTTTTTACTTACAGTACATAGCAAATCACACCGACTGACCACATGTCAGTCTGTACCCCTATGGGCTCGTAACTTATTATCTCTGGAGCTATAAATTCTGGCGTACCAAAAAGAACTCTCACTGGTATATCACCACTTAACTTTTGTGCCAAGCCAAAGTCGATTAGTTTTATATCGTGGGAGTCTCTCGTCGTGCACATTATGTTTTCCGGCTAAATGAGAAATAGAAATAGTGAAATAAAAGAAATGTATTATTAAGAAATTACGAACATACATACCTTAAGGTCTAGATGAACAATTGATCGAGAGTGCATATATTTAACTCCTTCACATATTTGTCTCATAAACAATATACAGTCTTTTTCCGTCAATGTAAAATCATCGGCAACCACTCTTTCAAACAACTCTCCACCTGAAATACTAAAATGTTTGTCCCGTAAGTAAATTAAGAAAAAAAATAGTATATACTATTTTTGTATACTACAATTAATTAAGGTTTTTAGTTGAGATAAAAAAAGTCAATGGCACGAGCGGGATTCGAACCCACGATCTTCGGCTTGATACGCCTCTGCTCTACCACTTGACCTATCGTGACCTCGATCCACTCGGACACCAACTTCCCATCTCAACCGCACCTTTTGAATTAGTTAAGTATACTTCATTTTAAATCATTAAATTCACTAATTTCGTGGTCCGCTTGACCAATTAATATATTACAATTAATTGTTCAACCGGACCACGAAATCAGTGAATTTAATGATTTATACTTCACTAAAGCTCTCCGAGGCCATTTCATTTGTCGTCGAGAATCCAGTCCGATTACACGACATTTGAAAAATGGCAAATAGGAGAGAAAATTCAAAAGGTGGGGTTGAGATGGGAAGTTGGTGTCCGAGTATCCCGCTCGTGCCATTGACTTTTTTATCTCAACTAAAAACCTTAATTAATTGTAATATATTAATTGGTCAAGCGGACCACGAAATTAGTGAATTTATGTATACTTCTTTCATGTTTTTATACTATTTAAAACAATCTATAAATCTATAATCAATGAATTTTATATCCAAATAACCGGATATGGGAGCAAACAGAAATATTGCTCACCTCTCCAGGGTTGATAGGGGAAAACACAACACCCCACACACACATACCAGCAGTAATAACTGTTTCATACCTAAGTGTTTTCTTTAAATAAAATTGTAATTTTGTTATTTATTTCAGTAAATCAAGAAGAGTCTTGTTTAATCCTTTTGAAAAGATAGTTCCTACTCAAAGTAAGTTTTTTGCAACGATCCGGATTTCGAGCCTTTTAGCTCATAGGTTGAAGGACTTCTACAACCACATCTCTCGACATGAATTGCCAAAGTGAACCCGCTGATACTCCGCCAACGCGACGTTCCAATTAGCAGCTGATTTGTTTAATGGCGCTCAATTTGAACGTGCGAAACGCGGAAATTATAACACAGATAAATATACTAGTAAATACTTAATATTATTAAATTACTCTAAAAAATGGGAGGTAGATCAAAATCTGTTATATTATTAATGCATTTATCACCATGTTCAATTTTACATTTCTCATTAATTTTATTATGTTAATTTCAAATTTCTCAAACCAATCTAATTCTTTCCCTTTGTTGAAACTATGTAACACTCTTGTATTTAGATTTCAATTGAAATTATGTTTTATTTCATTTAGATGGTCCTTAAATTCCAAAAATTTGCTCGATTTAGGCAAGTGTTCTTTTACTCTTGTTTTTATTTCTCTACCGCTTTGTCCTATATACTTAATATCAGAATCATTACAATTGAGTTGGTAAACCCCGCTTTTTGCCAAGTTGTCTACTTTGTCTTTAGGTTTTGAGAGGTTGTTTTTAAGTGAACCCGTACTTCTAAAAGCTATTCTAAAACCTTCTTGTTTAAAAATTTTACTAACTTTTTCCGATAATTCACCAATGTATGGCAAACAACGGAAACCTAATGACTCATTTATGGTGGGGTGGCTGAGTCCTATTGTTGATTCGTTTAAAGTTAATTTTTTTATTCTTTTAACTAGCAACTTATCAATAAATATTTCTTGATACCCGTTGTTTTTTGCTAAGGTTTTAATAGTTTTTAATTCTTTTTTATAGTTATCAGGTGTTAGCGGAAGTTTTAAGATTAAGACAAGGGTCTTGTTTGTTTTTGGTATTAATACTGTAATTTTTTAGATATTAAATGACACCTCATTTTTATATTCTGTTTTTACTTACTATTCAAGAACTAATATTATCTCCCTTGGATTGCTGTAAGCAGCGATGAGCTGCAAGAGTTTGGGATGGCGAAGACAGTTCATTATATCCACTTCTTGGGCTGCTTTGTCCCTATCTTCTTTTTTGATACACCTGACCGTCTTTGCAGCATATTCTAGCCCTCGATTGTGTTCCTTGATTCTATGTACAGTTCCATACCTTCCTTTTCCGAGTTCTTCAAGCCTACAGTACTTTTCAAGGAATGAAGATCCGTCTTCAAATTGAACTGCCTTCCAAAAGTCAGGTTTTTTTATATCTAGAATATGTGTACACAATTTAATTACCGTTTCCTTAATAATAAATTTAATACTTACCAATTAAAGAAACTGCTTGAGATTCTAAGCTTGGCTCACTCGGCCCGTGGATATTGTGAGATCTCACCCGAAATTTAAAGGCTTTATTTTTTTCAAGGTTGTAAACTGTATGTGACAAGCTGTGACATCTGGAATGTCAATATTCCACATAAGAGTAAATAATTTGATGGTGTAGATATAAATATAAGAGATGTTTACTTTTCTGCGACGGTGGACCAAATGTTATCTTCGCCGGACACTTCTAAACTATAACCAGTAATCATAGATCCTCCGTCGTAATGAGGACTTGACCAAGTGACAGAAATACCAGGCGAATTCAATTCTGCAACTGGTCTATTGGCAGGAGGATCGGGCACTCCTGAAACAGTACCGAATATAACCATACTATATATGAGTGCTCTGAGAAACTTTAACCAAACACAAGTAATTTCAACAAGACAACAGAATTGATTATTCCATAATAATGATAATAATAAATACGAATTTGTTTCTTTACGAGCATACGTGTTCATTTTTCAACACAATTAAAAATTGGAAAAAATAACCTTTTGAAGTTACATAGGTTATTAACAAATCAAGGTTATTTAATGCTTTCCGGTAAGTTCAGAACGTTCGGTAGAGAGATAGAAAAATAATTATCCAGGTTTGAATGCTGCCAAACAAATCTTTCTGGAAATAGCATAGGCGGCAAGCAATTTTCTACTACTTAATATAACCTCTAATTTATCAAAAAAGTTAAGGCATATAAATTAATTTAGGAGCATTTTAACACTACCGCAAAACGTTATTAGGTATTAAAAATATTAATTAATTGAATTTTTACTCCTGTTTGTGTGATGTATTTGTCTCCGCGTTGTGTAGCATGCACTACACAAAAACTGAGGCAACGAATACACAAATAATACTCCCGTGCAATAAATCCAGTAAACTGCGTCCACAAAAATAACACACATACACTGGCACAATCGCACTATCATTATTAACATCCTATGGTTACCGCCCCTAGAACTTTTCCCCTTGTTTCGGGGTGTCGGTGGTTTGCTCGGCGGGGGACGTTCCCGGGGCTTTACATGCCGAGTGGCAGCCAGTATTTGGGTCCCCTGTACCGATTCTTGGAGGTATATCCCCTGTGATGTGATTATGCGTATGGATTATGTAGCTGAGTACATTTGTATTGAGAGTGAATGTATTTATTAGCGTGAATGTGTGATGTAATAGAGTAGATGGCGGAATATCGACCCTCAATTAGGTTAGTTGTATAATATACACAACGTAAAGGGTGTTGGAGGAATCTCGCGTGCGCCATCATCCTAATTGAATGAATGGTGTGTAAATAGGAGTGAGTAGTATTTAAAAATGAACGTGAGTACGAATGGCTAGCTGTTAACAGCAACCTCCGGAGCCCAACCTTGGTGGCTGAACGGATAGATCGAGGTGATAACATTTAACAAAATAACACAATATTTAATGAAATAGTTAAATAATAAATCCGAGGTTTTTTCCGTTTTAAAGGAGACGTCGTCGATGCGGGAGATATACTGTAGGAGTACGGTACGCTTATGATTATTGTGGAGTGCAGAGATTGAATTATTACGCAGTGTTTCAGCTACTTTCTAACAAGTATCTATTCATTTACAAAATACACGATGCATATGCATGAAAAATACAAGTAACGTGCAGAAACTATACAAATTATTGTTAAATAATATTATTTAAACGCTGGAGTACATTAGCACATATGGTAGTATATGGGGGCATGGATTCATGATATATGATATACAACTAGCTGGGTTTCTAGTGACGAGATAAAACAAAAATTAAGTATTGCTTCTAAACAATCTACAACACAACAATAGAATGGAAACAAAATATCAATGCTCTACAAGAAAATATCTATAATAGAACTGCTTTTACTCCTTAATAATAAAAGACAAAATCCTGAAGAATTCGTTTATTAATGGATCTATTTTTTCATCCTGTTTAACGAGTAGACCAGTTATAAAATTGTGCCATGCAACGAGAACAAAACGACTACTTATTTCGAAACATTCATTACTCAGTTTCAGCGCGTGAATGGAAGGCCACATCCTTTGACGTCATTCCTCCTATTTAGTTAGTCTTCTAGTTGCTGATGTTATTTTTAATAACAACTGAGTTGAATTTGAAATGACGTGTCCAAAAAAGAAATCGGCCGTCCGTCATTGTTGATGTTAAGGTTGTTAGACCTAACTTAGAAAAATAAAGAATACGTATTTATAACGCGGTAACGTGTATGATTAAGACATTATAACGTGTACGTAAAACATAACGGCCGAATATTTGTAAACATTAAAAGTAGTTCAATAAATTTTGCTCGGTTCTTTATCTCGCCTACAGACGCGTTTTGGTATTTCGCTATATTTATTGGGGTTTATGAGATTAGGCAGACAAATAAACTAGAACTACAAACTAACTAACAAATTCATTACATCGCTGATGAGAATATTATAAGTATGTGTCTGAATATAATTGCATTTAAAACACCGCGATGACCTCTCTTAAAATTAACGAGAAAGAGAAAGAGGGTGAAGCAGGAAAGACGAGAGAAAGTAAAGAGGAGAGTAAGAAAGTGAGAAAGAAAGAATATATATAAATCGAGAGAGAAAGAGAGAGGGAGAGAGAGAGAGTGAGGGTGAGGAAGAGAGAGAGAGGGTGAGAAAGAGGGAGNAGATAGAGAGATAGAGAGATAGAGAGACAGACAGACAGAGGCATGACAACATAGAGTGTCATATAGAGGGTACAACACAGTGCATAATACATGTTTTAAAGATATCCTATGATTGCTTTGAAATTTAGAACTTTTTGACCCGCTGCTTTATTTCACTCGACCGTGGAACACATAACATTAGTGCTAAAGTATTATGGTTTTTGCAAGGTCTATGTAAAAATATTAATGTCGATGTTACTGTTGTTTCATATTTATTGCTTTGGAAAAAAAATGGAAATTTGGAAAACAAACCTTCATCCTTCATTCTAATTTACAAAAAATATATAATTTATGTGCTGATTTGTGACCGTTAGTCGATAATTATTCAGAAATCGTGAGATGCGGTCTGGTGTGATGTAGGTTTCAGAAAACCATTTTCTTTATCGTGCCAACGTTTCGATCATTATTAAGATAATCTTAAGGGCGTGGAATTTCCAAACATTGTTTAAATTTAACCAATACATGTAGGATGTGGAAAAAAGTGAATTTATACAATGCAAAAAATATATTTTTTTATATTCAATCAAAGTATTTCTACTCGCTCAAAGTGTTTGTCTTGTGTGCAATTGTGTCATTCTTGCGTGTCGTGTTGAGAGTGCCAGTGAGATTTTGCTGTTTTATGTTATATTATCTAAAGGCCCTGAAGATGATCTCAATAAAGATCGAAACGTTGGCCCGATAAAGAAAATGTTTTTCTGAAACCTACATCACACCAGACCGCATCACACGATTTCTGAATAATTATATAATTTATTTGAAAACACGCATTGGTCAATGAAAGAAGATGGTGTATGTTAACATTTATACGATTTCTCTTCTCTTAAAAGGCCTCTTACCTTCAACTGACAATGATGCAAAGTGGTAAACAGTGGCCAGGTGATTATATACAGTAAGGACGTACTTTCCACTGTCGTCGGCTTCCACTGGATCTATAATTAGCTTGGTTTCCCCAATGTCGTTGTCGGTGTGTATCGTCAACCTTTTTCCGTTTGACAACTCGACACCCTTGAATTCACACCAAAATAATATTTAGGAACATCGTTAGAAACGGCAGACTTGTTCTATTTTGTACTTGGGCGAAAGTACAGTATCAGTGTAATATTTTTGAATTTTATCTAAACTCAATATATTATAACCAACAATGACTGCTATGAATTATCGAGGATAATAAATATATCTCAGTGATTTGATAAAATTAATTATAAATTTTAGTTATTTCGATATAATGAAAATCGGCCTTCAATATTGTAGTTTTAAATGAAAAATCAGGAATAATGCGAATTTTAAAGAAAACACTCAGTTACTTTGTCAAGCTTTCGAGGAATACATGAACCCCTTCATCAGGACTTGGAAACTTTCAATAATAGTTTTTTTTTGGTTGTCTAATTAAAGAATATAATAAATAATAAAGTATTATTAGAATACCCCGCCCCGAGGAATATCGAGTACTNTCAGAGAGTCAGTAACCAGATCGAGACGCTCAAATGGCTGCAGTTTAAAACAAACTATGCGCGAAAGAAAAGCAAAGGAAGGAAAACACGCAGAGGGCCGGCGATGACCTCAACTGTTTGTCGGCGCATAAACTTCCCACTTATATATATTAATAGAATAAAAAACGTAGGAAACTTTTTGATCAAAAACTCAATTTTTAATTTTGCTTGAAGTTTGTAAGATTCATATATACATATATATATATATATATATATAAATATGTACATAATTGTTGACCTCGTAATTTATCAACAATGATTATCCTGATGAAGGGAATAAAAAACTACTCGAAAGTTGGCCGAATGATATGTTAATATAATTATTATGTTAATTACCATATGATAGTGTATTACCAATGAAAATGAATTTTTTAATAGCTGCGCTTTACAATTTATTATCTAGAATACGCCCACACCATTTACCAAATTTCCTTTCCTTACCCCCTTTGACCACATGAGGGTGGGTTCAGGTTTCCCTGCGAATCGTGCACTGAGTTCAGCTTTGTTCCCTCTGAGGGCTATACAGTCGTTCGGAGGTCTTAAGATTCTCGCGGGCACTTCTGACCCTTGGTTTGCGCTTTCTTCTGAAATTCGTAGCTCGTTATATTCAGATTAAAATGGTCTGACGTACGCGATGTACCTTTAACTACAAGCCTAGTGTGAGATTGTGCCATTCCATGTTTATTGTAAACGGTACATGTATATAAACCAGAGTCCTCGACGAACGGATCAACTATTCTAAGAGCTATTTCTCCATTTCCTAACTGAACGTGGGACATGTCTTCACAGTTAGGAATTTCTTCAGATTCTCCTTTGGACCAAACGATTTTCAGCGGCTCTTCACCTACACGAGATTGTGTTATTTTTTGTCTCGGATGTCGAGTCCTATAAAAAATCTATAAAACCTGATATAGTTGCAGAGATTGACACGGACTGTCCCTCTTGAGCGTTAATTTCTGGAGGAAGGCCTTTTGTAAAAATTGGAGGTCTTATTTCTTGATGGGCGAGAGGAGTGACGCTTAAGCGCACCAAGCCCTGCGCTAAGCCCCAATCTTGAGACAAACAACACGAGTAAAGACCCGTGTCGGACGGTACCAGAGGGCCGAGCCTAAGACACGAAAGGCCGTCCTCTTCCCAACTTATTTCTCTGTCCCCTTCTTCCTTTATCGGCTCTCCATCTCTACAGAAAAATGATTTTTATTTTTAAATTTGTCGTTTTTTTTTTCCATTGGTTACTCACTTGTACCACATTGCTGAAGATGGCGAGCCTATATGGCAGGACAGAGTGAATGTTGATCCTTCTGAGGCCGTGCACTCTTGAATCGGTGTGTGCTGGTCATTGTGCTGAGCATCTCTTTCTCGCCCGTTGTCTCTTTTGTCTTTGTACCGCCTACTGAACTGATCTTTACTCACCATCTTGATGCTTTCTCTACGATGACCTAATAAAATCAACCAATAGTTAAAACACAAAATAGATCCCTGCCTATTGCACCTCTATTGAGGGTCAACATTGAATTAGAACATAGCACATTTAAATGAACGTACTTATAACTTGAATGGTGGCGCTAGCCTCTACTCTTCCTTTTTTGTTCTCCAGTGTGACGGAGTACCTTCCGGCGTCTTCTAATCTCGTTTCTTCGATTTCCAGTGAGAATAGGTCTCCGGATTCAGTGATTTTCAGCCGGGGCGAATTTATCTTCTCAGAGTCTTTGTACCAAGTAGCAGACGGCAGAGGGTACCCGGCCCCGGAGCAGATGAGACGAACTGGGTCTCCAGCCAGAACTACCCTGTCATGTGGCACTGTCAAAAACCTCGCCTCCGAGCCTCGTTTCCCACGTAGGCCTAGTACTTCAGGGTTCGTCGCCTCTCCTGCCAAAATACACATTGATTAAAAACGATAATAGGATCAAACTTTTCTCAATCAGTTTAGCCAAATGTCATACGCGTTACGCAAGGAGAGACGTGATTCATGTGCTGGTCTTGGTCTTGGTTATCTGAAATAAAATTCTCACTTAAACTTCACGCAGTAGAACAATTGTTTAAACACTGTGAAGTTGGATTTAATTTTTTCATTTTATAAATGAATTTTCAACCTTGGACTGTTAAATATGCTGATGTCGATGCTCTTCCTAAGGGATTATATGCTTCACACTTGTACAATCCTTGGTGATGTGGATTAATCCCTGTCAATACGAGGCCTGATGATTCTCCCTCAGTGTATCTTTCACCTTGTCTAAATACCTTTAAAGAAAACGGCTTAGCTGTAACAAATCTACAAATCAACAAACGTCCAATTTTTAAAATTCAATTCCTTCCAATGCATTTTTAATATTTTAAGTCAAGCTAATAGTTCCAACTCGTCGAAGACAGAAATAGTCGACAGTAGTATGATGATATTTTCGATATATGCACAAAACAGTTAAAACCGTTGCAAAGAAAGTCATGGATACCTTTGCATGAAATCATCAATGAATCTTTTGTAATAAAAAGCAATAGTAATCTTCAATCTGTAGAGTATATTATAGTATAAATAATTTATACTTCATAAATTCACTAGTTTTCGTGGTCCGCTTGACCAATTAGTACCATTCAATTAATTAAGGTTTTAAGTTGAGATAAAAAAGTCAGTGTCACGAGCGGGATTCGAACCAACGACCTTCGGCCTATTCTGACACTATTCTGACCAGTTAGTACAATAGTATAAATTATTCAATTAATTGAGGTTTTAAGTTGAGATAAAAAAGTCGGTGCCACGAGCGGATTCGAACCCACGATCTTCGGCTAGATACGCCGCTACTCTACCACTTGACCTATCGTGACTTCGATCCACTCGGGCACTAACTTCTTATCTCAACCCCACCTTTTGAATAACGGCAAAAAGGAGGGAAAATTCAAAAGGCTACGAATCCCGCCCTTACAGCTATCGTCAACAGTAGTTAAAAACAGAAAAAATAGAGTGGGGCGTCTTTGTATTTTATTTAAACGGAGCAACTGGTAAAAATTTATTAAGTTGCGTGCTACAGTCATATCAACAAAGGAGAATTTTAATTGAAGAGTTTAAATTTTAGCGATTTTATATATTCATTTTTCAATTGTACGCGTCATTGTGTCATCTCCCCTAAAGGCGGACATAAGCATATAGTTTATATTTAAAATGCTTTGATATAGATGGTTAGTGTTGTATATACATAGAAGTAAAAGGTATTTATTAATTCCAATGGTAAAAAGGAGGGAAAATTCAAAAGGTGGGGATGAGATGGGAAGTTAGGGTCCGAGTGGATCGAGGTCACGATAGCTCAAGTGGTAGAGCAGCGGCGTATCTAGCCGAGATCGTGGGTTCGAATCCGCTCGTGGCACCGACTTTTTTATCTCAACTTAAAACCTCAATTAATTGAATAATTTATACTATTGTACTAACTGGTCAGAATAGTGCATTATGCAAAAACATAAAAAATTAGATATTAATCTTTAAGTGATGTTTCTTGACAGTGGACCAGCTCACACGGAGCACATAAATATGTTATCTATATATAATATAATCTATATATTTGTACTGTAAACAAAATTTAAGCCAAACAAGTTGGGAACCACGCAGTAAAATTTTGCTAATTTTACATATCGATTATTTTAAAATGTAAACAGCTGTGATGTAGTTGTAATACAATTTCCAGTCGTTTTGGAACCACATTACCTTGCCTTCTTTCGTCCAAATGACGTCTGGCTGCGGGTCCCCTTTAATCCGACATTCCAGGGTAACGGAAGATCCACTACTGCATTCGATGTCACCGAGTGGCCTCGTTATCAACGGGAGACTGTGTACCTTTCTAAATTAATTCCATTACTAAGAAGTCAAGAAGTATTATAGTTACCGTATTTATATAAAATTAATTTAAATCGATAATATTGTAATTATGCTTTAATCTTAATCTCTGGATAGAGGTATAGACTTGAAGAAGAAAGCAAATTTAGTTCCTACTGCCAATCTTTCGACCTTTTAAGACCTTTTTTTTTAAGATCATCAATTCAGTTTTTGACTAAAAGAGTGAGAAGAGAAATAATTGGAATATTTGACAGGTCTGGTTTCTCTTGTATACCACCTATGCCTATCAAAACATTCAAATCAAGTAGGCATAATTTTGACTTTTCTAATGTTGAAATAATTAACAAATTAAACTATTAAGAAGAGGAATAAAAGAGGTTCTACATACTAAAATGGAAAGTAATAATTGTAACATTCAAACAGATACTATGGGCTTAAGTTCAACTTAAGAAAGTCTTATAAGTCTTATTAATTTTAAAAAGAGGTCTCTGACAAGAGGAGGACCTCCGGAATAAAGCCAGAAACACACTTACACGATGCTAGGCCATGCGACGCTACCCGATGCTACCCGACGCAAATCCAAACTCCGATTTTCGTTAAGGTTGCATTACCCCCGTGCACATCTACCCGACGCTCTGCGATCCCCACTGTGCAGATTTTCGTCGGGTCGCATCGAGTACAGTCGAAGACAAAAGAACCGGACACTCATATTTTTATTCAAACTACATGTATTATTGTCGTTATATTAATTACAACATACTTATTTTAATATAAACCAAATTAACTGTGATTAAAAATTAATTAGTTTTTATTTAAAAAATTAATTTTAATGGTTTGGTAGAATATTAATCAAAACACCGGAATTCGATTTTTTGATATAATGAATTTATTGTACTCGCTTCGGCGGTACATAAATAAAATTGGAACAATTTATTACACGGTTTTGCTCATAAAATTTAATTAACAATTTGTTTGATGGCTGTGCTCATAAAATTTAACTAACAATTTATTACAAAGTTTTGCTTAAAATAGTGCATTAAGAACAAAAGATGCGTTGCGATTGTGATTATTGTGATAAACGCTGTGGACTGTACGCGACGTGTGCTTGCATCGGATAGATGTGCACACCCCACCAAAACGTGGCAAGGCGTCGGGTAGCGTCGCGTGGCGTAGCATCGGGTAAGTTTGTTCCTGGCTTAAGGTTGCAATTCAGCTACAGTCCTTGCCAATATTGGAACTGCGTCGGTCTTCAAGGAAATTTGAGATCGCCTCTAATAGCTCAACTATGTCAATCTATCAGGCATATTTAAGGCTTTTTGTGAGTTCTATATCGTTATGTATATATATATATATTATGCAGGGTGGGCGACCGAGACCCGAGGGGTTAAAAGCCTAGGTAGGCACGTACCCCATATATTGAATTCAATTAATTATTCTTTTTATGTAAAGTCTTCGTTAAGATGAAAAAGTCAGTGTCACGGGATTCGAACCCACGACCTTCGGCTTTTGATACGCCGCTGCTCTAATCACTTGAGCTATCGAGACTTCGATCCACTCGAGCACCAACCATTTTCATCTCAACCTCTTAGATAGAAACTTAGATAAATAAATAAAAGTAATTAATTGAAATAATTAATATGGTCAATATGACCACTAAACCTATGTGGATTAATTTTAATCATGTTTTTCTATAGGTTTTCCTATAATTTATTTTTTGTCTTATTATGTATGATATGCGATAGTAGAAGACAAAAAAATCAGAAAACACTTTTGCTGTTTTAATTAATTAGTTAATATAATCTTCCTTGGTGAGGTGTCGGTATACAGATAAATACAAGGTACTGTCCACAATAAAGCAAAAAACAAACAAAAATAAAACTTAAAAAATGTTCGGATTCATGGAACACTAATATGTACTACAAATAACTAAAAATGTTATATTCCAGTCGAGTCAATATTTACTCCATTAACGAAAAATCAAGTTATTGTTGACAGTAGAGCAAAATAAATTTCGAAAGCTGTTCCGATTTGTAAAGTAAAAAGTATGGTTGCCCTAGTTGACAAGCATGATAATTCTATAGAAAACAATAGTTTCATTACTTAGTCTCTATTTTAATATTATCTTATCATAAATTTATGTGCATAATATATATAATATTAACAAAACTCACGCTAATTTTGTGTCAACCGTCCTTAGCAGATGCCGCCCTTCATCTGAAAAGACAAAACATTTTTAATGTTAAACATTTGTGATGATCTTTATAAATAACTTTTCAATTAATTAAGGTTTTGGTTGAGGTAAAAAAGTCAGTATCACAAGCGGGATTCGAACCCACGAACTTCTGCTAAATACGCCGCTGCTCACTTGAGCTATCGTGACATCGATCCACTCGGACACTAACTTCCCATCTCAACCCCACCTTTCGAATTTTCCTCCTTTTTGCCGTTTTTCAAATGTCGTGTACTCTATTTGATTCTCGGTAGAGCAGCGGCGTATTTAGCCGAAGGTCGTGGGTTCGAATCCCGCTTGTGATACTGACTTTTTTATCTCAACCAAAACCATAATTAATTGAAAAGAATTTATTTGGTCATGCGGACCACGAAATCTAATAAAATTTATAAACAACACAGAATTAAGATTTATGAATTTAACACGGATTCAAATAATTGTAGTTATAAAAGTGTTCTTTTCCAGAAAAATATATAAATACTTTTGAGGAATCTTTTAGATATTCTACATTCTTTTCTTTCAATCCGTGGCACTATTATTTGCAAATTGGTTTAAGGAGAATCTACGTTTATATAAGCCTGCATCATAAGCCCCAGTTTGTTAGTAATTTTCCAAGTTTGATAGCATTTGTTTAACAAACACGAAGTCAAGTGGTTTACATTTTACAATTTTATATTTGAAGCATCGCAGAACCGCCATGTGGCTCCTTAACGCCAAGAAAGCATAATAGTAAACAAAAACTCGAGAAAGGAAACAGTAATCATAGAAAGAAAGTAAAATTGTTTACGGGAGATATCCTCTTTTAAAAGCTATCAGCGTAACTTTTACAATATTTGATGCAAAACGTTTTTCACCGAAAACTGTTACATTTTTTGCGTAAAACCTTTTTATTAACAGCAAATCAATAAAATGTAAAAAAATATACATATGTTCACAATTAAAACCTTGGGAGTCGTCCACCATCCCTAGCTAGGGGATCCGCGGGGATACTTCGTAAAGCAGTAATTTTTTTACTACAAGCAGTATTGGGGGCGTCGGTGGGCTCAACGGTTTAGGCGTTGACACGGCGGTCATCACTGTAAGAGGTCCCGGGTTCCAATCCAGCGGCCCTGCATTCGAACTCGACATACTTACAAATGGACTTTTTTTTTCAAAAACACCGGCACCCTGAGGGTTGATATAACCTTTGCTGTTGTGAGCCTCGTAAAAAAAAAAAAATAATAAAAAAATAAAAAATAAATAAATAAAGCAGTAATTACCAAAATAAACGGAGAATGAAAAAATAAAATTAAAACCGGTGTTTACGCCAGTAATCACATTAAGACCGTTAAGGTCCGTTCATGAAGGTTCCGATTATTTTCACTAATTTCGTGGTCCGCTTAACCAATTAATATATTACAATTAATTAAGGTTTTTAGTTGAGATAAAAAAGTCAATGGCACGAGCGGGATTCGAACCCACGATCTTCAGCTTGATACGTCGCTGCTCTACCACTTGAGCTATCGTGACCTCGATCCACTCGGACACTAACTTCCCATCTCAACCGCAACTTTTGAATTTTCCCTCCTTTTGGCCATTTTTCAAATGTCGTGTAATCGGATTGGATTCTCGACGACAAATGAAATGACCACGGAGAGCTTTAGTGAAGGTATCGTCTTTTTAAACTTATTAAATTCACTAATTTCGTGGTCCGCTTGACCAATTAATATTATTACAATTAATTAAGATTTTTAGTTGAGATAAAAAAGTCAATGGCACGAGCGGGATTCGAACCCACGATCTTCGGCTTGATACGCCTCTGCTCTACCACTTGAGCGTGACCTCGATCCACTCTGACACCAACTTCCCATCTCAACCGCACCTTTTGAATTTTCCCTCCTTTTTGCCATTTTTCCGATTATTGGTAAAACAACCTGTAAGCTGTATGCCTCACACCCCCGCCGTGATCACACATTCCCATTTTGTTACCCCTTAAATTTTAAAAGTACCACGCGAATGTTCAACTCTCTACGTTATTTCTATTAAAACCAGCAAGATAATTTCATAGGCTGCGCCCACCATAGACAACGCTGCGCCAAACCTCAGGCCTGAGCGAATGGCGAAGCGACGTCGTAGAAAGGCCGGAGAAAGCCCGGTAAGCCTCCATTTAAGCATATTGTTTCTTCTTTGAAAACAAAACTTTTACGGCTACAATTTAAAGACCGTAACAACCTGATAACAAGGAGTTCTAAAAACGAAAGTTTTCTTTTGCAGCAGCGGTCATTGTGTTCTCCACAGACATGCTTAGCTGTGAAACAGAGTGAAAAATAAAATAAAACGATCAAGTGTTAGAGCAGCGGCGTATTTATACGAAGGTCATGAATTCAAATCCCGCTGGTGCACTAGCTTTTTCATTTCAACCAAAACCTTACAAAAAAAGATTAATTAATTGAAAGAAGTAATTTGGTCAATAGAACAGTAAATATAATGAATAAATAAGACGTTTCATCCATCCTTAAATAGTTCCTCCAATCAGCGGGTTCAAGGGAAAGATCTTACATCAAATTGATGTAGGTATTACGGTTTCTGTTCAGGAGCCACTTCTTACACCATTTCCTTTTCGGTTTTTTGCTTTTAACGTATAAAAAAACAGCAGGAGAAGAGATCGTCATCCATTTTGAGGAGGTAATTCACTAGATGACGTTCGGAGCGACTGGCTGTGGAGCGGTCGTAAATGCCCCCTCAAATTTCAGGCACTCCAAATGGAGCTGTACGGCTTGGCGCGGTTCCATTTGGAGCGATCGTGAATGGCCACCTTATACATACACCTTATATAGCCAGCGTATACATTTCTGGCTAGACAGTTGTGTTTACAGCAATAGAGCTAACAAAAATACATTGAATACATTATTACAACACAAATAATGAAACAACAGAATACATTTTATTTTAGAAGCTACCTAGCACATTAGATCTGGTGAATTGATTTTTGTTAAAAACCATCGAAAAAAAAACACATGTAGGCATTTATTATTATTTGTTTGATACCAGAAACACAATTTTTCTAAACATTGTAAAAATTATAGTTAATAAATTTGGCATTAACACTTCGAAACCATGTTTGATATAAATTTCTCGATAGTTATTTGGTATTTTGGTAAATTAGTCGTCCTGACATTGATTATGGCCGCTGCGGGTGTACTGATGACATGGATGACCAGAGAGAAAACTGGAGCCTTTAACGAATTGGAAATTTGGCCGCAAGACAAGATGCAGGATTTAGTGACAACGTTTTTATATCTCATGACCTCTTTCGTTCTACTCATTCTCGCCACAGGCTTTTTCACGCAATCCGCCGTCTTGAAGTACGGAATGTGTTGTACACCCATGGAATTGATCGCAGTAGAGATGGCGATATTCGCTATATTATCAATCTGCATAGAGAGCATGCCGTATGCGCCGGGTGAACAAACATTTAAGATTATCTGTTGGCTCGCACATTCCCTTACGATGGCCCCCGCTTTGTCCTTTTTCGGCGATTATGTACACATCGAGTCGATGTTGTACGCATCGTACGCCATGGGATCGGCTCTTTTCATGGGATTCGCGGCTCCTAAAAACATCTACCGTGATCTGGAACGACCGTTGGCTGTCTTGCACGTTGTAGTAGCGGCAGGGACAATGACGTGCATTCTCTTATGTCCCAACTACAACACTGCACTTGAAATATTTGTTCTTGAGATAGCAATTCATGGTGGTATGGTTCTCTATTTTCTTATCGCACTCGCGTACACACAAGGTATGATTTTAGACATTAACAAGCGCAAGTGCGATCCGATACATTCCGCCTCCGTTATGCTGATGAGCACGATCAACCTATACTTAAGAATTGCACTGTTTTTGACTGTGGATACAAATAATTTCATCGCGGTCGGTACGAATTAATTGAAAATGGTTAAAATTGCATCTAGTCAGAACTAAATATACCAATTATGCGTTTAAAAAAATACAAGTCATAATTTATACTTTCTTTATTGTTTTCACCATATGTTATTATAAGAAACGCAACAATACACATTAAGGTAGTTTTCTAAACTTTTTCTTTAATTAAAAAAATGTTTACAACTGCACTTCGTATAATATGCAATTGGCGGAAAGAGGATTGGTCAAGTTTGGAGACGAAGTAGAGTTTTAAGTCGGATTGATTTAAATAAATGCCCCTCCCGAGCTAAGATCAAATCAAACTATTTTGGCTTTCTCATTGAAAAATTTGTAAAACTCAATCCAGCTTTTATTATCTTTCCTAATCCAATCTACTGGACTCACTTATCTAACCCGATAACGAAAATTCCAGTCTATTAACGCATCCTTTGCGAAACAATAAAATTTAACCTTTCTTCTCTTTCGAATTAACATCAATAAAATCATATAATCTTCCCTACATCAGTTTTAATTTTCTTCTCATTTACATAACCCATTAAATAATGAAATTTAATTGTACTTCACCCCCTAGTTACTTAATTTCAATGTAATTAATTTTTCTAATTAATTAATCGTTAATTAAGGTTTTGGTTGAGATAAAAAAGTCAGTGTCACAAGCAGGATTCGAATCCACGACCTTCGGCTAAATAGGCCGCTACTCTACCACTTGAGCTATCATGACTTCGATCCACTCGGACATCAACCTCCCATCGCAACCGCAACTTTTGAATTTTCCCTCCTTTTTGCCATTTTTCAAATGTAGTGTAATCTATTTGATTCTCGGCGACAAATGGTTGAGTAGCGGCGTATCAAGCCGAAGGTCGTAGGTTCGAATCCCGCTCGTGACACTGAATTTTCTATCTCAACTAAAAACCTTCATTAATCGAATGATATTAATTGGTCAAGCGGGCCACGAAAACTAGTGGAATTAAAACCAATACCGAAAGAGCAAAACTTAACTTGTGGCCAAACGCTCTTACATTTATGCAAAAAGTGTGAGAATGTGTCTCGAAAATATACGACT